GTCTGGGTGGGGGGGTTTCTCCCCCACCCAAGTCTCCCGCTGCACCCCGCCCCCCCATGTCCCCCTACTCGCCCCTCTGGGCGCCACCGCAGGGGCCGGAGCGTGGTGTCCGACAAGACCCGAGCGCCCTCTGCTGGCTCCAGCTGCCGGACTCGGCGCCCACTCCCTGGGCTTCCACCATCACTGCCACTTCGGGGCACCCCCTTCCCTCCTGGGGGCATGAGGCTCCCTCAGGCCTCTCCTCCCAGAACCAGTCTTTTCCCAGAACACCCCCTTCCCCTCATATTCCAAAGCTACGTGCTAGGCCCTGGGTCCCAACAATGGGCAAAAGGGATGGGAGTCTTGGCCTCCTGGAGCTTACAGCGGACTGGGCAGACAGATGGGGGACAGATTCCACCAATGAACCATTAAAACGGAACTGCTAGGAAGTGGTGGGACCTTGGACCGTGAGCTGGTAATTTCCCTGGTGCCCATGGAGGGGTTTGTGTCAGAAAGTGCTTCCAAGAGGAGGTGATTCTCATGCTGAGAGAGTGGAGAGAAGAGGGAGGGTTCAAGAAAGGAGGAGAAAGTGGGCTGGAGGCCTGCCTGTGCAAAGGCCCTGTGGCAGGTGAAGGAGGCACGGTGAGCACGAGGGACTGACTGAAGGGCAACCATGTGCTGCACCCCATTCCTCACACACACCCTCCCCTCCCCTCTCTAACACACTGCCGTCACATCTGCCACACTCGGGGCACCATCCCTTGTCTCCCAACCCCCAGCGCAAGGGCCTCCTCCCATATGGCCCTATGCTTGCCCCAGCTTAGAGCAGGCTCCTGGGCACCACGCTCTTCCCCAAGCACAGACGTCTCAGACCCACGAGTAGAGGCAGGTGCTGGTTTTATTTGGGACCTGATTTTGGAAGGAGCGAGTCTGGAGTCAGACCCCGATGGTCCCCGCTCACACTGGCACCTTTCACCCCAAGTTGCAGGTCTGGGCCGTAGTTCCGGCCCTGAGCTCTGGTCTGAGTCTGTAGCCTGGGTTCCCCACTCTTCATCTGAGGAGCCTGTTGCATTGAGCTCATGGCTACTCCTGTCTCCTGCCGGGAGAGGCCCCTTCCCTCACGGGCGTCTGTGTCCAGCAGGGCTGTGGTGATCTCCCCTCCTCTTTAGGGCCTGGGTGTGAGGATGCCCGGCCGAGTGCTAAGGCGGTTTCCTGGCCTCCTTTCTCAGCAGGGAGCTGGCCACGGCCAGGGCCCCGCCCTGCACAAACCGCACAAAGTTGTCCCCGGCCAGCGGCCCCACAGCGTACAGGCCCTCCTGCTGTGTGCTCTGGTAGGTGAAGGGCTCCACGTCGATGGGGTTCCTCTTGGCGCTCAGAGGCTGGTCAGGGTCCACGGCGAGGTGGGCGCCTGCCCCCGGGAGGAAGGAGAGGTCGGGGTGGGAGCCGATGAGGACCAGCACCAGGGAGAGGCCGAAGACCTTGTGGAGGCCCTGGGGGTCCTGGAACAGCGCCTGGCGGTCCTCCTTGAAGAGCAGCAGCTGGTGCTCGGGGAGGCTGCGGTAGCCCTCGTAGGGGCTGGGCGACAGGATGGACTGCTCGCGCATCATCTGGTGCACCTTGTGGTACTCCGGGTACAGCATCTTGGGCAGCTGGTTGAAGACCAGGCCCGGGTCGTCCACAGGCCGGCGGAAGGCGTGGATCACGGGGATGTTGTAGTGGCGCGCGTAGAGCACCGCGTCGGCCGCCGACAGCCCAGCGCCGATGATGAGGACCGGGTCCGAATCTGGGGTCACTGTGCCCGCCCTGATGGCCACCTCCAGGGCCGACAGCTCATGGTGGACGAAGGGCAGGGTCTCCCCGGGGATGCCCAGCCGGGCCGGACTGTCCGATGTGCCTGTGGCCAGGACCACGTTGTGGGCGCACAGGGAGAAGGGCTGCTGGCTCTGGTCCTCGGCGGTCAGGAAGCCGCTCACCTGGAAGAGGGGGCTGGGGTCTTGGGCCCCAGAACCACTGGGCTCGGGGATCCCCCACTCCACAGCCGTGACCACGGCGCCGGACACAAAGCTTTGGCCCAGACCCTTCTTGTTCACGTAGTCCCTGTAGTAGTGAGCGATGTCCCCGGCTGTGGCGCGGCTGTTACGGAGACCTCTGGGGGGAAGGACACAGAAGGGTGAGTGACAGAGAGGGGACTAGGGTTGGGGCTCGATCAGGTGGGACAGGGCTGGCATCAGGCCCTGGAGCCGACTACGGCTGTGCCACCCACCAGCCTAAGGCTTGGCCAAGGGGCTTCGTCTCTCTGGAGCCTCAGTCTCCTCTTCTGTAAAATGGAGCCGATAGAGCACCTTATTAGGGTGGGGCTGAGTGCGGCCTCTCAAGGCAGATGGCCTGGGTCCGCACCCTGACCCTGCCACTGGTGAGCTACTTCCTCAAACTCTCTGCCTCAGTTTCCTCATTGCAAAATGAGGGTGACCATGGCGACAGCACCTATTTCGTGCCATTGTTGAGAGGATTACATGATGATACAAACGAAGAGCTTAGAAGAGAACCTGACAGGCAGTAAGTGCCATATGAGGGTCGGCCACTATTATTACCTCTAAGGACTAAGTAATACCATACACACGTGTGGTAGGATTCCATTTTTATAAAGTTCAGAAACAGCCACAACTAATCTGTGGAGTTACAGGTCAACACAGTGGTTGCCTCGGGGCGGGGAGCTAGGGGGTATTGGGAGAGGTCTGAGGGGGTTCTGGGGAGAAGGGATCTATTTCCTGAGTATGGGTGGCTGGACGCAGGTGTGTCCACTGGGAAATTCCATCTGCCTATACACATGTGTACACGTGGGTTGTGCGCGTTTCTATACGTATATATATTTCAGTAAACAAGGTGACTTAAAAAATAACCCATGTAAAGCACTTGGCCTAGTCCCCAGCAGGGACTA